GTAGGTAGCTCACATCGGATTCTACCAGAAGTGCAGGCAGCTGCAGTAATACGTGCTCATCGGGTATCGTTTGGGATGTGTGGCGCTCTAATAAGTCTCTACTCGAACTGCAAAGAACCCCAATCGTTTCGATCAGATAAGCGTCAGTTTCCGCAAATGGGGGCGGAGCTTCAGCATACTATGTGAGGGGGTACTTGGTGAATGCTACTTGGGGTGAAGGCACTTCCTGGATCCAATCAGATGTGCCGGAAGGTCCAGCACCAGGTCAACACAATGCATACTTGACTCCCCTGGCCTTCAACTTCCACGCTGGCTCAGCTCTGGCAGCCTGTATCAGTATGCTTGCCCGATGCTACTGCGTTCTCCTTTTTTCCTCTCCCGCTCCTCTACCTCCCCTCTCCTTCCTCCCATCGACCCCCCTTCCCCTCCCAATCCCCCTCACCCTGCTGATGCTGACACGGGTGCTGCGGCTGTGGCTTCCGCTCCGCTGCTCCTCCTTCGCCTCCTGCTCCTCTTCTCCTCGTCTCCCCTCTTCCAGCCTACTCCTCCTCCTGCCGATCGTTCACCTCGTTCTGCCATTGCTCCACCTCCACGTCCTCCTCCTCCGCCTCCTCCTCTTCCTCTTCCCCTCGTCATCCTGCTGCTGTCGGTCCTGTCGAAATCGAGAAGTCGGTCTTCTCCTCCTGCGGTCGTTATCCTCATCCTGCGGTGGGTTTTCCTCCTGCTTCTCCGCCCGCGGTCGCACGTCCTACCACTGGTCCTGCTCTGTGACCAGAGCCAGCTAGTCTCATCCTCCTCCTCCTGTTGCTGCTCCTTCTCATCGTCCCTCCTTTTCCTCCTCATCCCTTCTGTCATCCTTCTCATGCTCATCCCTCTCCTTCCTCCTTCTCCGGTTTTATCCTTTTTCGCCGATTATCATCCTACATCTCCTGCTCTTCTTCTTCCTCCTCCTCCTCCTCCTCAATCCTCCGCTTCAACCTCCCCTTCTCCTCCTCCTCCTCCTCCTCCTCCTCCTCCTCCTCCTCCCGCTCATTCCTCCCAAGCCCAGCGAGACGGCCGAAGATGGCTCTAAGATGGCCCAAGACGGCCCAACAGGCCTCTAAAAGGGCCTCCAGGAAGGCCCGAAGAGGCCAAAATCACTGATTAACCTGAGGGTGTTAACGGATTTTGGCATTTGCTTCTTTTCGGCCGAGACGGCCCAAGAGCCCCAAAACATTGCCCCCCAATCGCCTAAAAGGCCTCCAGAATGGCCCAAGAGGGACGGCCCAGAGGCCCCCAAGACGGCTTCCGACGGCGTCAGATGGGCCAGGAGGCCACCAAGACGGCCAAAGAGGTCCCCGAGAAGCCCCCAAAGGCCCCCAAGAGGCCCAAGGAGGCCCCCAAGATGCCTCCAAGAGGCTCCCAGGAAGCTCCCAGGAGGCCCCAAGAATGTTCCCAGAGGCTCCCAAGATGCCCCCTCCTCCTCCTCCCCCTCCGCCTCCTCCTCATCTTCCCTGCCATCCTCCCCAAAATGTTTCCCGACGGGTTTCCACAACGGTTGGGGGAACACGTGGTCCGATGGCTTGGCAGCTCTTGCCATAACGCTCGGCCACATGAGCGATTCTAGAAAGCAGGGGACAGCGGTGATTCGCCGTATGCGTCTTCGATCTGCTGCTCCCTGTGGTCTTGCCACAGCGGTGCCCGCCGTGCTAGACCCTACTGCTCTGTTTTTAGTTCTTTTTCCAAAAGGACTCTCCCCTGGGGCTTCGGCCCGTCCCGCCGGCCACGCGGAAGGCGCGCAATTCTCGGAGCAATCCTCCCAAGACGGCTCAAAATGGCTTTCAAGACCGCCAAGATGGCCCATGGTGGCCTCCAAGATGGCCAAGACGGCCTCCAAGACGGCAGAGATGGCCCCAAGATGGCTCCAAGATGGCCCAATCTACCTCCAATACGGCCCAAGATTGCCTCAAGATAGCCCGCGACGGCCCAAGAGGCTCCCAAGAGACCTCCAGGACGGCCCAAGAGGCCTCCAAGTGGGTCTCCAGGGAAGGCCCGAAGAGGCCAAAATCAGTGATACCCCTTGGTTTTTGACAGATTTTCGCTTTTGCGCTTCTTCGGCTTTCCGACGGCCCAAGATGGCCCAATAGGCCTCCAAAGAGGCCTCCAAGATGCCCACAATGGTCTCCACGACGGCCCTGAAGCGCCCAAAGAAGGCCCCAAGTAGGTTCAGAGAGGCCCCCAAGACGGCTTCCGACTGCGTCAGCAAGGCCAGGAATGCCCTGAGGCAGCCAAAACAGGCCCCAAGAAGCGCCCAAATATGCCCAAGAGGCTCCCAAGAGGCCTCCAGGACGGCCCCAGAGGCCTGCAAGAGGGTCTCCAGGAAGGCCCCAAGAGGTCAAAACCATTGATCCTCCTTCGGTTTTTGAAAGATTTTGGCTTTCGCGCTTCTTCGGCTTTCCGACGGCCCAAGATGGCCCAAGAAGCATCCAAGGTCACGCCAAGATCGCCCACGAGGCCTCCA